TGTTTTTAGTTTCTTGTGTCCCAAATGTGTCCACTGGTGAAGTTGGGAGATCAGCTCAAGTGCTGCTTCCTGGGGCAGTATAGTGCGATTTTGATGTCTCCACATCTTGGTTTCAGGATCCAAAGTAGCATTAAGCTTTTGAACAAGTTCTAAATCTTGTTCAGTGTAAGTAAAAGAAGCTTCTGCTTTCTTTTCCTGTTTCTTTATCTCAGCCTTAAGGTCTGCTTGTGTGTAAAGAATGTATGTACCTTCTGCTGCCTGACGGGCAGTTTCATCCGCCATCCGATTGCCTCGAGCAATCGGCCCCTGGTCTTGTTGATGCCCAGGGCAATGAATTATGCTGACCTGTTTTGGCAAGTACAAGGCTTGTAGAAGGGCCACTATCGCTTCTTTGTTTTTGATGTCCTTACCAGCCGAGGTGAGGAGTCCCCGCCTCCGATAAATTTCCCCATGTATATAGGCAGTGGCAAATGCATAGCGGCTGTCAGTATAAATGTTGACCTTTTTGTCCTTTGTTAATTTTAGGGCCTGAGTTAAAGCTTCTAATTCAGCTCGCTGGGCTGATGTTTCAGCCGGCAGAGCTTGAGCCCAAATTATCTTTTCCCCATCAAACACCACCGCCCCCGCCTTACGCTCACCATTTCGTAGAAAGCTGCTCCCATCCGTCTACCAAATGGCATCTGCATTTGTTAGGGGCTGGTCAGTGAGGTCTTCTCTGGTCCCATGTGTGTCTGCAAGTATTTGCTGGCAGTCATGAGGAATCTCAGTGCCTTTCTCGGTGGCTGGTAGCAGCGTGGCAGGGTTTAGGGTGGCAGGGCTACCAAACTTGATCTTTTCTGGATTTAATAGTAATGTCTGATAATGGGTCACCCTGGCATTTGACAGCCACCTGTCAGGAGGTTGTCTAATGATGGACTCCACTGCATGAGGTGTTATAACAGTTAAGGGCTGACCCATAGTGAGTTTGTCTGAGTCTTTAACTAAGGATGTTATTGCCGCCATGATTTTCAAACATGGGGGCCAGCCAGCGGCTACATTGTCCAATTTTTTTGAGAGAAACGCCACTGGCCTTTTCCAGGGTCTCAGAGTCTGAGTAAGGACTCTTTCTGTTATTTTTTTATTTTTATTTATATATAAGACGAAAGGTTTTGTTAAGTCTGGCAATCCCAGAGCTGGAGCCTTCAGCAGTGTTCTTTTGGAGCCGCTATTTCAGTGAAACCCGGTATCCATAATCTATAGAATCCTGTGCTTCCCAAGAACTCTCTGAGTCCTCTGGCTGAGGTTGGTGGGGGGATAGAGGCTACAGTCTGTTTCCTGCTTTCTGTCAGCCAACGTTGCCCTCCCTTCAACCTATAGCCCAGATAGTTTACTTGTTGTAGGCATATCTGGGCGTTCTTTGCTGAGGTTCGATATCCAAGTTCCCCCAGTCTGAGTAGAAGAGCCTCCGTACCTTGCAGACAGCCAGCTTCTGTCTCAGCTGCTAAGAGGAGGTCATCTACATATTGAAG